CTGAGAAATATGGAGCTGGGCAGCATTCTGAGTTCAGATATAGCTAATTACATATAGTACACTGCTGCTCACCTTCAGCAAAGCCCAGAAGCCCCTAAATATGTCCTAGGAGTGCTGTTTGATTGCAGTGTTTCTGAGAAGAAAATCATATGTCAGATGAGAAGTGAGCTGTGTCTGAGAATTGTTCAGATGTGTGGGATTTTACAACTATTTAAAAGAACTTGATGGAAGCTTTCCATTGCTAGCCATGTGGATAACAGGGAACTATGTAGGAGGTGAAATCATTTCTTGAGTTTGTCAATTTTTGCTTGTTTTCAATCAAGGGTTTCAATCTGGAATATCACCATAGCACTGAAAAAATCATACTAAGTATTTCAGCCAATTCAATAGCTTTCATGTTGGTGCCTGTTTGTTTCATTAACAAAGTCTTGCTCCAACAGGACTAAGCCTAGAGACTTTTTTTAAAAACTTATTTATGTTACAACATTACCATTGTAAGAAAACAGTGTGACCCCTAGCACAGAGAGCATTTTATCACAAAAAGCTAACATTAACATAGTTCAAAGTGATTGGTAAAAGCATCCTGGTCTCGAATTTATTGTAGGTTGTTTATTATGTGTAACTGAATCTCCTGATTGCTGAATTTCTTCTTGAGATTTCATTTGGGCGTAGTAAGCCTGATTATTTAAAATCCTGATTTAATTTCCTAGTGAACTAGAAATTCAGACCTAGAACTCTTAAGAAATTGAGCTACGCAAAACCTTTGCCTAGAAATTGAACCTCTTTAATAATAAATATCCCTACTGTGTTGTCACCTACTATTTGAATGTTTTCCCTTACCAGAGATAGTTTTCATTTGAAAGTTTACCTTCCTTTTATATTCTTAATTTTATATTCTTATATTGTTGATACCCTTGTATCTAACTCAGTGGTTTGTTCAGTATCATTGCGCGGAATTAGAATCAATGAAGCATGAGCACTTCTGAATCACAGCATATTAGTTTCTTTCTCTATTTCTGCCCACCATTTTCTTATCTTTCTTTACCCCTGAGCTATCAAAGTGGTCTTGGAGTAAAGTGAAGACTTCAACATTTATGTTTAAAGGTGTATGTTTATGTATTGAGGAGGGTGCGTATGTGAATCTGTTTCACTTGCTCCATTTGTCTGTAAATGTAAGATTGTACTAAAAGAGCATAGTCTTAATTTAAGGACAGCAAGTAGAAACTTACATTTTTTTAAAAGTTTTGTTCATTATAAAAATATATTTACAAAAAATAATGCTTATACTGTATCACCTATAATTTTATAATACTTAGTATATTTACTTTATAATTTTAAGAGATACTGTTTGTAACATTTTAAAAAATCTAGCTATTGGATATTGTTTGATGCTAAAATATCAGAATATTTCCATCATAATATATATAAAGTAGCTAAATGACACTGAGTTTTTCTTAAGGTGCTATTCTGATAAAATTATGTTTAAAAATGTTTAGTTGTATAGTTTTTCTCTGTAGTTAAGTTGATTTGATGGTTTTTGTACACATGGCAGTGGCTAACGTGTTTCACACATTTAGTGTTTGCTGTGATGTGTAACAGTCTTTGACTTTAAAAAATCAAGATCAAAATATTAAAGCTTCATATAGTTTTGTATGATTCACAAATGTTTTTGGTAGACATTTTAAGTGTCTGAGTTTTTAAATTTATGTTTTAATTTAAGTGCAAGACAGTTGTATAATTTATATAAAGAAAAGAGAAGCCTGGATATGGTGTGTATTACATAGTGAAGTGTGGTATGTCTGAATATGTCTGAAGTATTGAGATATACCATACTTTAGAGTGTAAACTTTTGTAATTCAACCATATATACAGTGAAGTATTTTTTTTGCAAGATTTATTTTTGTAATTTCTGACTTATTTTTCACTGCAGTATGTTAATACTGTTAACTGTCCAAGGATATTATTGTATACATTAATGATTACAATAATCATTTCAAAAACCTGAGAATGTAGTCATAGTTCTTTTCCTGACTAGATAAATGACCTTGAATCTAGATAGCTTGAAGTCATTTTTTCTATAAAATTGCATTCAACCTCATTTTTTCCTTAAGTTTTATAATGTTTATAACTCAGGGATTCCAAAACAACAGAGTTCTGAAAAGGAACCTGATGCCTGTAATCTCAGCATTCACTTGAAATTTGAATTATCTGCCCAGTATCAAAACTAGGCAATGCAGAATAAACTTCTGCCAAAGATAGACACATAAGCCCTTCTGTTTTGAGGCAGCTTTGGTCAGAATTTGGCAATTTCTCTGAGCTGGCATAGCTTTAAAATATTGATACATGGGAATCACGCAAAACAACTATCAACACAATTTGTGGTTTATATTTTATTTTTTCATTTTCTAAATTAAGTATCCTTCTGTAATGTTTTAAACAAACTTGATTTATATTTGTTTGTATTGCTTTGGGTGTATGAAATATATAATAATAAAATAAGACGTGAAATGAATTTAAAATAACATTGGATACAGATTGCAGAGTTAATGGATTGTATTGCTTAGGGAATAATGTATATGCAACTCATTTTGTAAAAAAAAATTTGTGACTGAACCACAGAAAATAATATTATTTTAAAATTTTTTGAGACGGGAAATTGTAGTAGTGCTAATCTTAGATTTTTAGTATGTCCCATACTATGCTGTCTACTCTTTAGATTTATTATTTCATTTAGTTCTTATAACAGGCTTCTGAGGTGTATGTATTTCCAGATTATGCATGAGGCAACTAAAGTACAGAGGTCTCAAACAATGTGAAATAAAAATTGTTCCAATTGCATATTAAATTATATTATGTAAAAAGTGACCTTACATAAGTTGTAATGTACTAAAATGTAATTTTTCTTGCCACAAAAACAATATTCTAGTGTTTGATCGATCCCTGGCCTTCACATTAGTTGCCAAGATGTATTGAGGTCTTCCTATGTTCCAACTACTGTGATAGTGTTTTTCGTATTTTATTTCGGTTAATCCTCACAACCTTATAAAACAGATACTGATTTTATTCTTATTTTATGGGTGAGAAATTTTAGAAGAATTACTTGCCTGAATCACATAACTAGAAAGTGCTGGAACTAGCAATTGAATTTAGGTTGTGCTGACTATGTAGCTATGTGTACTAATTATTAAGCATACTGCCTCACCACACTACACTGGTCTAAGAGATTTGACTTTCTTAGAACAAAAGTAGTAGACAGTCACTCTTGATAGACACTCTTGATAACTATCTTGTGGTTGTACAAGATAGACAATATGTTGATTGTACAGGCATGCATTAATGAAGCCCTTTGAAAACAGCTAATTGTTTTCTATGTTAATTTGTAAGTAAGCTTGCCAGGTACATAAGCAAAGCCAGAACTTGATCTTTAAAATACTGCAGTGTTTTATCTTGAGACAGAAGCATAAGATCACTGTTTATTTTGCTATTCCTGGAGATTTAGAGTTATGTGTTGTTGCATACCCGTTAGTCCCAGCACTCTGGGAGGCTAAGGCAGGAAGATGCCAAGCTCTAGCACAGTCTGAGTAGTTCTGTAGTTTAAAATAGCAAACAAAAGTACTAAACAGAGATCAATAGAAAGACTGACTGAGTGACTGACTGAGAATTCTAATGAAATTTAGGATGGAGAAATATTAGCCATAGCTCCTTAATTTTCTTGAAGGTGAATTCTACTTGGGTTTAATTGAGGTTTAAGGCAGATTTCAGTTGGATAATTCAAATGCATGTCAAACACAAATATATTTTTTGATTCCTCTCCATTATTTGTGCATTATTTATTAAAAATTAGTTGAACTTCTGTTACAAGTGACGTGGTTGCTTCCTCTTGCATTATGCTTTTCCATTATTAGTTCTTAACCTTCCACCAAAGCCCTTGTCAGATTCAGATTGTGTTCAAAACTCTTCACTTTGAGCATGAAGCACTGAGAAAAGTTAGCATGTATTACCTTATTGTTCAGCAAAAGAATTCAGTTCTTTTTCTTCTCATGTTATTTACAAGTTCAGTGTTTCTTTGAAAACTTTCACAATGTATTCTTTTTTCTTGTGCAGTTTTGTTTTCGCTTTCTTTGGAGGTTATTCAGTTGGGCATGGTACTCTCCTCAGTAGTGCTTTATTTGTCTATGTGCCACTTTTCACTTTCTTTTTCTCAATGGAACTTAGAAGCATTAAACACATCTCTAATTGTTAAGTATACAAATTGAACTTTTTCTTTGATTTAGATGGCAATTTCACCTCATCTACCTAGATGTTAAAAAAAATCTTATGTTTGCCACAGTTGAAATGTTACTTCTAATCATTGAACATGTAAAATTTCTCTTAAAATAAAGATACAAAGGTTATTTTAAAAAATGGTAACCAGACATTTCTAATACAAACAACAAACAAACAAACAAAAGAAAGAAACAAGAAAATGGTGTAAGCCCAGGGATAAAAATCATCTGAAAATTCCCTCCCTGAGGCTGTTTAAATGTAACCCAGTCCTGTAACATACTGATTAGGTTTGCTGTGTTTAGGCCAGTTAAATTACATGCTTTCTCAGGCGTTGTTAAATTGCTACATTTGGTGAAAAAGGAGTAAACTGCTATTTTAAAAAATTGATCATATATATATATATATCTTTATAAATACAAACTCTTTATCTTTTTATATTTTTCATTTTGGTACTGTAAATTTACTTTGATAACCAAAAGTAATAAAAACAATAATAAGTACTGGTAATACAAGAGGAGGCAACTCAATATTTCAAAAGATAAAATAGTGCAGTCTTAATCAGTGAGAACCTATACAAGATCATGGCATTCAGGTTTAGGTTATCTATCTCTTTGGATCAGATTATATGTTATTTTAATCTGCTGTGGTATAATGAGTATGTTTCATAAGACATAGTGCAGAGCTGCTATGATCTTTAAATGTTAATGTTCTTTTCTTATCACTTTACTGTGTAGATACCCTTCATGAGACCCAACTCTGCCACTGCTCATCCTCGGAGGCAATCCTGGAAACCTCTTTTATAAGTGTGATTTTAAAAATGTGGATAAAACTCTCAATAGAGTACCTAAAGTAAAGGAGAACAGCTATCTTGTCCTTTCTATAAGCTTATCACTGCAAAAAGTTGCTTTGCTTGTCAGGTTTGGATAGAATGTAATTGATTGGATTGTTACTTAGTCTGACAAGGCAGTTAATTTGCCAGTGTGGATTTTTTTTCTTTTCCTTTTCTCTTTTGCACTAATCAGAAATATTTGATATGTGCATTGTTGGAAAATATTGGATAAATGTCTCTCAGAATTGTCCTATAAAATGTTTTCCTTCTTTCTTCTTTGGCAAATGATGATACAGTGTTTGGACTTCCTGAAGAGTTATGGAAGCCTCTGGGACTTAAATGCAGTGTTACACATTTCTCCCTATTGTTGAACAGTCCAATAACTAACAGGAAAAATGATGCTTTCCATTAGACTGCTAATCAGTTTCATCCAACTTACTGCATTTATTTATATATGAAATGCTGCTGCGTTGGAAAACAACTATAGACTCATAGTAAATGTTATTTCCATTGAAAGACTTGGGAACCATATTACATTCTATTTTTAAACTCATTTTTCCTAGTATGAAAACATTAATATTAGAATGAAATTTTTACAACTTTCAATTATAAGCTTATGAATACAAATATATCTATGTTGATCTCCAGGTTTTTTTTTTTTTTTTAAAGAAATAGCCAAGTTTATTTCATCCTTATTTTAACATGAACTTTCTGCGCTTAGGATAATTTTAATTTTTCAACCTTAAATATGAAGTTATGTAATGAGAAGGGAGACACAAAGCTTGTTGATTGTACGACCTGCCAGCTGAAAGATCATCAACATCTGTATCTTTCCAGAGGTTTACAGAATTAAAATTTGATCTTCAAGCTTTAATGATCCAGTTTTCAGTCAACGACAGAAACCATTGAATATTTCATCACTCAGTCTTGAACTGGCTTAGAAGACTGTTTGCTGCATTGAAATGCACATATATATGTAAATTATCAACATTTCTCTTGGAATTTCCTGATTTATTAATGTGATTTTTGGACTTCCTTTCAGGTATAGTGGCAAACGAAATTGTTGAAACTTTAGGAATAGAGTAGGGCAATGTATAGATAGTCTAACGCAAGTATAATTATAATGTTTCTGTCTGCTAACAGTCTATAGTTATGATTGAATATTTAGTAAAATAAAATGGTATAATTGCAAATGAACAGATTAACTTATTGAAGATCTCATAACATTGGAGGAAAGATAAACAGTAACCTCTAGTGAAGTGAAGTGTTTTTTAAGAATACAAAAGACTATTTATCATTATTTAAGTTTATAAAAAAGTTGGTAGTTATTATTTCTGAAATACAGATGATTTTAGAAATACATCAGATTACCAGGATCTGAATGGATTGTGCATATATTAGGTCATAGCCCTTTTTTAGCATATGGTGAGGAAATATTAAAATAATAATGATTTTTAAGGGTTTTTGTTTTTGAGATATCATTAGGGGTTGTAGTTTTGATCTCAATGTTAATCAAAATCTTTTTCATCTTAATCCTAATTAGAATACTCTATAATGATTTCTCTTACAATTTTCAGTAGTAGTATGTATGCTTGTCCATGTTTGACGCAGCCTGAAGATCTTTGTCACATGTTCTGGATGCCTAATTTATAGATGGTAGAGTCTGCAAAAATGTAGAACATTTTCAGGGAGTAGAATGAAACATTTCCTTCTGATCACTCTGACAGACTCCTGTATTTCTATAGTACAAAATTAACCTGAGTTCATAGGTGTTCCAGTTGTTATTCAAAGGAAAAATTAATGTATAGATAAGAAAATACTACACATATATTTCACAGTTGTATGTAAAAGGAGATGATAAATGAAGTAATTCATGGTTATTTTCTACAGAATAAAGAGGAACACTAAAATATTACAAAGAAAATTGAATAGAAAAATAACATGATACTAAATAATTAATGGTTTTCACACTATCAAGTAACCAAATCATAGGAAGATTTATTATAAATCGTAGTTTTCAGCCCTAACCTCCTCCATGTCCTCTCTCTTCTTAATTACTCCTCCTCCCTGCCTCTCTGGAGTTTCTGATTTCAGTAGGGACTGGATGAAGACTGAAAATTTACACGTGTAAGAAATTCCCAGATAAGCTGACATAGCTTATCAGCAACATCACTTTGAGAACCATTGATGCATAGTATATTTTAAGCAACCATTTCCTTGCCTTAACAATAATTAATAAGGAGTATGACTTTACTTTTATAAGGTTCTCTTGTTTCTAGACAAGAGTTTATATTAGTTTCGTGTGCAACATACAAAAATATAATTTCTTTACTCTCATAAATTCAGTCAAATATTTTACAGTTATGAAAGTAGCACTAGAACTGACAGAGGAATCAAAGAACATACAGCCTTTGTCCGTAATTAACTAATTTTGTTTCAGAAAAAGGACTTGAAAGTTAGGGTTATTTTTCAACATGAAAACAAAATGTGGCCTAAGTCATTATTCATTGTCATTTGTGTATTTCTTGAAGGATTATCTGATTAAAAACAATAAGTAATAATAATAGTCACAGTGTTCTTTTTCCTTGTTTTTATATCCTATTAATGAAATCACTATTTTCAAAAACATTTGCTTATTTGATAAGCAAAAGTGTTTTTACTTCAATCATAGTATGATGATAGATGACTATTTCACCAAAATCTATTCAGAATTTTTAGGACTGTGCTTCAGAGTCGAATATTAATGTTATTCTAAAACTCATTTTAATTTTCTAAAGTAGTTTCTAACAATTGAAACTTGTTTAAGAAATTCAACTTAGAATTACATGGCAGGTGAAGGCACAAATTTTTTTACTGTCAGAATCAGCACTTTGTACGCTTGTATAGCATTAGTATTACAATCTGAGACAGGCATGCTTTACATGTATTTCTGTATGGAAAGATAGGCCTTTTTCGTGTAGTACGCTCTAAGGTTTTCTTTAGCTCTGCCAGTAAGATTAAGATTCACTGCTGTTCAACTACATATTGTACAATGTAATGAAGTTGGATGTTCATGCTGGGCTTTGTAAATAAAATGAGAGTGACTGCTAGCCATCATTTCCTTTATCTAATTTACATTGTAAAATTAGAGTCCATGTTATTTATTAGAGCATAATTAGTTAATTATAAGCAAGGAAAGACAAAGTTATGTGAAGCTGGAGCATAGCAGTAGGTTGTACTGCTGAAAAATTTCCAAGGGCATGAGCAGATGGAGATCATTTTATTAAAGAACAAAGCAGACATGTTTCAGGCATGAAAAGGTCTAATTCTCTCATACTGTGATGAGATACTTGACCTTCATGTGTAGTTTTATATGAACTGTTTTCTTTCATTTTTTTAAAAATTTCAATTCTAATCTTACAGTCTGACCACTACAGATATAACTAACTAAATTGATCTCATCCTTTAAGTGGGTATAAAACACAGATTTAGATTTGAATAATTTTCCAAGTATTTTTCAGTGCATCAACATTTACTTGTAAATATATTTACTTCCTTTTTACTAGCCATTCATTCATTATTACCTGTGATAGGAGTTTATAGAGTGACATTAATGAAATAGATTCATGTCCTCCATTAGTCTACTTGTGAAATATGATTTAAAAGACAATGTGTAATTATTTTGTATAAAAATGCTCATGTAGGTGATTTGCACTAATTATTGTAAATTGAAAGGAATAAAAATACTGTATTTATTGGTGTGAAATGTTACTCTAATATTGGTCGATTGCAGAATTTTGTGTAAGCTTGTATCATTTTTAAAGTGATTTAAGGGCTACAGGCCTTAGTTGCTCCACTAAGATGTTTTGTTGCAATAGCCAGCCACTATTAATGAAAATAATCTATCACTATTGGTTCATAGATTTTTGCTGTGTGTTCAAGCTACTACTGAGATTTTCATTTAAGTTATACTAATATTTGAGATTAACTTTGATTTTGCTGGAATGAAATTTTGTATAGAAATGACAAAAGAGCTGAAATTTCAATCTACAAATTCTGTAGATTTTACAAAAGTTAACAGGTATAATAGTATATATATTTGCAGACAATTCTTTATTTTTCTTTATGTAGACTTTCAGGGGATCAAAGTAAAGTATTTCATTGATTTTAAAAATGGTTATCTTATAAAGATCATTTGCATTAGAAAGGTACTTTTTAAAGTGTATACTATGAATTTTGCTTCTTCCTGAAATTTAGCTTCTAATCTGGCTATAAATTCTTTGTGTAGGAAATGTATTTAATTGTGTTAATTTGTAAAAAGTACTTGATTTACCCTCTAATGAATTTATTAATCAAAAATTAAGAGAGTTAAACTCTTGAGAACACTATTAGCCTGTATCTTAGGTGCTGGAGGAAATAAATCAGTTGTTTCTTTTTACTTGTTTGCATAATATGTCAGTAGTCCGTAAATACTGAATTGATTGCTTGTAATGCGGATCATAGCACTTATGAAGAGAAATCATTTGCTTCTTCTTTCTTGTCTTAATCATATGCTAAGTAAGTATTTTAAATACATCTAGAACTGTATTTGTTTGGTTACTGCATTTTGTTAAATAGGTATGTAAAAGATCATATAATACTGCATTATTGTATCTGTATCCAGTGTAAAATCAGTATCTAAGAAATTGTCTTTAGGGAGAAATTAATTAAGCAATCAAGTTTCATTTTATCTTCTAAGTGGTATTCATTTATCTTGTTTAAAATTTAAGTGTCACAATGCCGTATAGTGTTAATGTGCATGATGTATATTAGAGTCTTTAAAGATACTTTAAGTGTCCAGTTTGAATTTTATTTTAAAAATTCAGTGTTTATTTATAGGTTAGTTTTATACCATCTTTTAATATTTTAACACACTGCCATCTTATAATGTATTATTGGTATAATAATTTGTTTTTATTAGCCATTTGTGTTATTTAATAAACGATTGTACTACACCATTACACTTTTGTGGGTCAGTGATTCTTTTTATAAGCTTCATAAAAACATTCTGATCATTTTTTGATTAAATATACATTGTGCTTCAGTTAATATTTTTACAAGTGTATATTAGATGTAGAAATAGAGATCATAAGTAAAATTGTTTAATACCTACTTTAGCTTGATTACAGTTAATGTTTCTAGGAAGTAGATGATTATAGATTCATATGAGAGCCTGGTTTTCAAGATTTTAAAGTAATCTAGTTTCAACATAAACTTTGTTGATTAATAAGATTTGATAAGTATTACAGAATATTTTTTGTGCAGGTGAAGTAAACCGAACAATCTATTATTTTGACCACCTACATTGTTGTTTGATTTTGAGAATCATCAGTGGTATCTCTTAGGTTTCTGTGGTGTTTTAATTCTTGTAAAGTCTGTTAGAGTTGTATTGTGTAATTCAGGATATTATTGTCACCAGCACATAAAATTACAGATTATTTTTCAGTTTAGTATTCAAGTGTAGAAAGAAGTAGATTTTTCCCACATGGAGATCATATAATCATATATATACATGTCTGTTAGCAAAGTGACATCAGGGTCAAGTTATTTCCTTTTTGATTTTTCTTTGTTGGAGTCTGGAAGGTCTGTAGTTTTTACTTATTGAAGAGTGGTCCAGAACTTTAGAGAATTTTCCTATCACTCTCATTTCTCTGAATCTGTGAAAACTACATGTCAGCTGAGTCATTATCAAAGTTACACTTATAAAGAGATCAATCAATAAAGATTAGATTATTTTCAAATAATGTACACTTTAAAGTATGTTTTGATAGAGCCATCATAAAAAGTTTTCTTTACTCCTTTTCACTATTTCTTGACTTTAAAGATAACTTGATTTTAAAAGTAATTGAAAATGGTAACTTTGTTACAATATCAATATAACAAACTTGTTAAATTATTAGGTGGAAATTTATAGCCATACCAACAAAAATCACCAATGTAAATGAAAATGAATTATGATTGACTTTCACATTCATTATGTTTTCCTTGAGTTATATGCTAGAAATATACTAATTCATGAATTATAAGGTAAATATGCAACAATTCGTAATTTAATATAAATTAGAAAATTAACACTCTTTTCAAGAGCTACCTTTGTTAGAAACCTGAACAATATGGAGCATTATCAAAAACCTGAGATTAAAGAAGGAAAACTATAGTTAAAATCCAAAATTTAATGCCTCTGTATAACTCAGTGCAAGTTGTCATTTTCATGTCTTTTCATTGTCAGTTTGCATAATACTAATAGTTTTCATACTGTTTGTGAGTTTCTGAACTCACAAAACGTGTTAGGAAAATTACACTTAGATAAGTAACTCCGACTTGATATTATTGTTTTCAAGCAAGTGAAAATCCTGAATATTTGGGAAAAATTGAGTATATGAATTGAAACATAGCAACAAACAAATGATACTCACTCATATCAAAGGCAGCATATGTAATTCATGCTGATGACCCTAAAATGACAAACTATTTAATGTATTCCTTTGTTTCATCATTTAAATTTGTTATCAAAGATTATTGAAGTATTAACTTTCATACTGGAAACAGTATACTATACCTTCAGATATCCAGAAAGCTAAACCTTCCCATAAACTCAGAAATGCATATGCTTCCACATCCATATGTTTATATGTAATTGAAATCTTTATTGAAAGGTAAATAAGGACTATAAGAAAGACCATGAATTTGTTTAAGCTTGACATTTGTTCTCCTTATTTTACATTTGAAATTAATCTACATATTACCATTTTTTCTGCATGCTAGAATAACATTGAACACTTCAATTCCTTTCAGTTGTATTTTTGTGCAGTTCATGTGAAATACTGGCTTTAGTAAATGAAGTCCTTAGTCTTATATGTTTTTATTTATTTTTATAGCTGGAATTAGTCAATATTTTAAAGTTCATTTATGGGTGGAAAAAGTTTTAAAGAAATCTGTACATTTCTTTTATCTATAAAGAATAAATTGTAGAGAAAAACTTGTGACATATAAGTGTGTTAATCTTCATTATAACTGAATAACTTTCCTGAGTTCCTTAACCTTTCTGACACTTGATTCTCAAAATGGGTCTTTCAGTGGTGGTCTTTTTTACATCATGATACAAAATTTTTTACTGAAAATACAGATTTATAGATTCCTTTATTGTGATGATTTCTTAAAGTTTGTTGTTCTTATGATGTTTAAGAGTAGCTCCTATTGTCCTAATAAAGTTTTTGTTTAATAGTAATTTGCCCTTATTCAAGTAATATGTATTTTCTAAGTTTTCCCCTTAGTTTCTTAGTTTTAAGAGCCTTTTGAGTTTTTAATCAGGAAGTGGTTTAACAATAAAGAGAATCTGACAAATTGAGAAGTATTAGTTTTAAATTAGAAGCACAAAAAAATGGGGAGCATAATTCATTCTCTAAGATGAATACATAACTGTTTATGTTTTAAAATTTTGGCCTTGTTACTCCAATTGATGCAAGATGCTTTTTAAAACACTGAAATAATATACATTTTTCTTCATTGTCAGCAGGATGAGATTGTCTGAAACGAAGAATAGGTATGGTAGCTTTTTTAGATTTTGTACATTGTAGGTGGCAAGACACTATGAAAACAATATAAATTTTGTGTTGTAGTAGGAGGTAGTTTGAAAAACCAGATACACTGAAGGTGACAATTTTGAGACAATAATACTAATGCTGATTTCTTACCATTTTGTATACTTAAGTATTCTGTTATTTAACATGTAAAGTTGTTTCTGTTTGCTGTAGATTATGTGAGGGTGTTATAAACATTAGAAAGTTCATCTATAGTCTACCATCACTTGGAAAAAGAGACCAATGAAACATAATTTGGATATCACTAATTGCAGCCTAATAAAATTCTATGGAATTCTGGAATTTTAAAAATAAATACAATGTATTAAATTGAATTCATAATCATTGAATTATACCTATGAAGAGCTATTTTATACTAATAGACAAGTTGTTAATTCTTTAAATTAAAAATTGAAATTGTTGTGATTGTTTTTAGCACATGAATAAACATGCATTCATTCATATGCGCTTAATGTTTCTGCTACCAGAATACCCTTGTTTGTGAATTGTATAATTGTTGCTTTTTTCCCTCAAACATCTATTTCAGGTTAAAATTATTTTGTCATAATAATCTTGTGAGCAAAGGATAGAATTAACAGTGTTAAAGTTGACATGTACAGTACTTTTTATTTTTGACTTTGAAATAGATTATTCTTGTATTATTTAGATATACCATAAGTCTGTTTACCCTGCAGGTGTGATGAATGCAGACTCTGCTACCACTTTGGCTGCTTGGATCCTCCTTTGAAAAAGTCTCCTAAACAGACAGGCTATGGATGGATATGTCAGGAGTGTGATTCTTCATCTTCTAAGGTAAGGGAGAGGGATCTGTTTAAAATAGAGTTATTTAAATACATAAGCATTACTTAGTGATATGAAAAGCTAAGAGAAAAATACTGATTTCCTTTAAAACATCAGTGAAACAGTTGCCAATAAATTTAGGTAGAGGAAAGTGAATATGAAATTGTTTTATATGTGTATATATGTGTATATGTGTCCCCACTTTCCTTCCTTTATGATTCTCATGTTAAATCCAACAATTCTGAATTTTTATTTTTAAACTTTGACTTCCATAAAGAAACTATTTTGTAAATACAAAGCAAGTGCATATGGCTAAATCTTTGCTTGAAAATGCATTGCACTATTTTAGTGGAGAGGAAACAATGCTGGGGATTGAACCCAGGGCCTAGCACAAGCATTTCACTTTAAATATTTAACTATTAATATTTTTGTTCAAGTTCTATGTATTAGGGAAACTGTAAAGTATTGCCACATATACTCTGGACGGTGCTTGTGTTTGTACAGGAATTTATAGTAGAAACATTTCCTTTTCTTTTTTCTTGTGGATTTTCTAGGGCAAAAGTCTTATTGATTTAATAACAATTTGCCAAGTGTGATATTGTTTTAATAACAGTTTACCAATAACAGTATGACTCTTCTGTCAGATTCCTTGAAATATGCAGTGATACTACTTTCCTCGTCTTACAAGTTCTTCATAAATTTGGGAAGTTATTTTCAGGTTCACAATAATTGACTATGCATACACAACATAAGGAACCTCGCCCACGGGTTCTGCTTCATAGGCATCTGACTGAGCTGTCATGTAGACAGGGCACTAGCTTTGCTTTCAGTAGTGCTAGTTCATAGCTACCTATTACCATGTGTTAGGTTTTCACCTTCCTGCTTTTTACAGCGTGATAACAATCGTATCCTTAGTGACTACTGTATGCCTGAAAACCTGTGTGTGTGTTTCTTTTACCACCTCACTTGCTTTCTTCTTCTGTCTCTGCTTCCATTACTCTTCCAGGTAAATACCTGGAGTCATTCTCAACATCATCCATCCTTTTCTTATCAAGAAAATCACTCCTGAGTTTTATAAAAGTTATCTTCATTAAATTTTTTTTATTGTAATCTTACTTTCCTTTCTCCCACTACTGTTGCCTTGATTCACTGTCTTACTGTTTCTCAGTCTCTTCTATTTTAGAAGCTATCTAAGTAGTTCGGCCAGATTCATTTCCCTTTGATCAGAGACTTCCAAGTGAAGTGTTACACAAAGTGATCATTATATCAGTTTAATTCTGTATAGCATCCTATTTTAATTTCTATATCTGAATGTTTTATAATATACATTTTATTTTTAACTTTTTTTTTTTTTTTGGTACTGGGGGTCAAACTCATGACCTTACACTTGCCTGGCAGGTGCTTATGCCACTGAGCTAAATCCCCAGCTATACTGTATATTTTATGTAACATTTTATAATGTGTTTTAGTAGTAAAAAGTGAGTATATAAGACTTTACAAAGATGTTACATTGGGTGCATACTTAATGTTTGATAAATTGTATGCCATATTTGGATACTAAGTATGCTTTTCTGTAGTAC